CACGCCCGTGCCACCTCTTGGGTGGCTTAATCTTTATCAATCAATCTTATGATATCAGAGATTTACTTCGCGCGACCATGAAGACCCCGTCCATCCACAGATCTCCAGTACCAGCTACTGATACTGGAAATGGCTCTAGACAGCCTCCACTTACGGGCTATTCATGCCCCTGAAATGCCTTGGGTGACCTAATCTCCATCAGTCAATAGGAGTATGGAGCTAGGATAGGCCGGATGGAAGGAATCGTATCCAACATCTTAGACCGTCGGGAATCGAACGCCGACCTGCGAGAAGCGAGGCCGTCGCAGTACCGAGCAGTTCAAGTGGTTGGGGAAAGAGAGAGAAAGGGACAGGCACAGTACAAGGTCTACTATAAATGTTAGAAATGTTATTATTAGCAAGTTTAGGCACACAATGCGTCGCTACCAATGTGGGTTAGAGAGGGGGGTGGGAGTGGGGGTGGGGGTGTGTGGGGGGTGGGGTGGGGGGTGTGTGGGGGGTGGGGTGGGGGGTACAGAACACAGGTCAACAGCTAGCCAGGTGCACCTCATATCCCCACCACATAACATGGTTGGGAGTCTGGTGTACTCGCCTCCACTGGCAAACTTACTATACACTCTTGAGGATATTTTCTCTTCTTTGTGTGTGAATGAAACGACACCAGCCAGAAGACTGAATTAATACTATACTCTAAGAACAAGAAGATTGATAGTTTGCTCATAAAAAACTCTCCTCACACCAAATATAATTCCTTGAAAGACACAAATGTCGTCTGTGCCTTCACATGCCCACTTGGGGACTCTCTGACCCAGTGATCTCAATATATAGGCAAGACACCAACATCCCTTTCAAAGTGGCTAACAATGCACAAACAGCAAGGCCTCTTCAAGGAACAGTTAACAGTCTCAATATATAACCAGACAATCACCAAAAATATTTTGACGAACAGCACCACTAAATTAATCAACAGACACCACGATAAGAGAGGACGGGACTCTGGCGAGACATTAAACATGAAACAAGCCAACCATCAACAGGCAGCTTCAAGTAAATTACACTCTGCCATCTTTGAGAACACGACGGAACATGCAGCATAATGCCCCAACCATAATGGCAACATAGGAGATGGGTAAGCTGCAATAGGCCTATTGGTCTATTGCAGTGAGGTGCTTCACCTTCACCTCATCCCCGGCTAATATATCCAACTGGTAAAAAATTTGTATCCACACGGGAGACATCTCCCGTCACGCAGGGTGCAGTCGCACCTCCACAGATCTCCAGTATCAGCTCTTGATACTGATAAATGGCTCAAAAGGGCCACCACTTACGGGCTATTCATGCCCGTGCCACCTTTTGGGTGGCTTAATCTTCATCTTTGTATCCACTTGAATTCTGCCTTTGATAATGTTGACAAGGGTCAACGAAACGCTCCAAGACATAATATAATTGTAGAATTTGATTTGAAGAGTTAATTTGTCAACTTCCTTATCAAGCGAAGGAAAACAACACAAAATAGTGAAGATTCGTGCTAGAATCATTGATAACTGTCACAACAGCCCCCCCCACACACACTATACACATGACACCCTCCCACAGTCTCAGCTTCGATTAAGTTGTAACCGTATTGTTGTTGTTGTTGTTGTTGCCAGGTGTGTCAGCCCAAGAAGGTAGGGTCAGTGTGTCGCGAGGCCATAGCTGACTGTGACCTGACGGAGTACTGCTCGGGCCACTCCGAGTACTGCCCCACGGACGTTGTCAAGGCTGACGGAGCCCCCTGCAGGGGAGGCAAGGTGAGTATTCCATCATGTAAGGGTAGGTGAGGCTGCCGTTATGCCGGGGAGGGGAGTCTGCCCTCATGTAGGGTAGGTGAGTCTGCCCTCATGTAGGGTAGGTGAGTCTGCCCTCATGTAGGGTAGGTGAGTCTGCCCTCATGTAGGGTAGGTGAGTCTGCCCTCAGGTAGGGTAGGTGAGTCTGCCCTCATGTAGGGTAGGTGAGTCTGCCCTCATGTAGGGTAGGTGAGTCTGCCCTCATGTAGGGTAGGTGAGTCTGCCCTCATGTAGGGTAGGTGAGTCTGCCCTCATGTAGGGTAGGTGAGTCTGCCCTCATGTAGGGTAGGTGAGTCTGCCCTCATGTAGGGTAGGTGAGTCTGCCCTCATGTAGGGTAGGTGAGTCTGCCCTCATGTAGGGTAGGTGAGCATAATCCCACTCTTCTCTACACAATCGCACACTGACTTGTCTCCTCAACATACTCCAACACTCCCGGAGCCTATTTAACTTCAGCCCTTATCCTTGGCCTCAGAACCTCTGTAATCAAGACGGCTCGTCCCCTCAGATCCGCTGCTCGTACCTCTTAGTCCCCTCAGATTCCCCCCTTACCGGGTCACCGATTCCCCTCAGGGCCACTGTTGTGGGAAAGTATTTGTAATATATCTTAACTTCAGTGGACTGTATAAAATACATCGTTATTGGTTGCCCACACAATCCTTGCGGCTTAATTATTTGAAGTATTTCATCCGAATTTCGAGTTTAACTATTCAGTGATTATTTTATCTCAGTTTACCTTTTATTTTATCTCAGTTTACCTTTAAACTCAAGTATTTAATCAGCTCAGGTGCTTGAAATTTATTCTTAAATAAGTTGACTCATTTATTAACATCAATGAGCGGACTAAATCTTATTCACATAAGTTTTGGTGTGTGATTAGTTATTATTGATGTATGGCAATTAGGCCAGATAAAGTTAAGGCAGTGTCTGGGATGCTTCCGGACGCAGGTTCGAATCCTCGTCACGGCCCTTGTGGATTTGTTCAGATAAAGTTAAATTATTAAATTTAAGACAGTAAGGTCTCTGGTGGGGAGGGAGGGGGGGGGTGATCCTGTCCAGGAGGATCCTGTCACGTCTCGCCAATATGTCCACCTGCTGCTGGCGTCGGGGTCCGTGACGTGGATGGTGTCCCAGGACGGCACCTGCCGGGGTGATGCCACTGCTAGAACCTCCGGTATTATAATTCATTAAGTCATAAAGATGTGTAGCCCCGTTAACTATTCAGTTAAATTTAAGTTTAGAAAGAGTTCAGAGGCTTGCTCAGTCATTTGTTTTGATCATAGGTCGTGACCCAACCTGTCTTCCTACAATGAACGTCGCTTCTCGCTCGTATGGTAAAGGCAAAAGGCCATAAGGCCAAAAATTGTCGTACTAGAAAATGGAAGCGGCTCGCGAAAGTGACGTAATGTCGCGTTTTCTGTTTTGGGTCCTCTGGCTTAGTGTGTTAGGTTAGGAGACGACACATTTAATTGATCGTTTTCTTGACGTTGGTAAACTTTAGGAGGACGGCTGCGTGACCGGCTCATACCACTTCCCTTTTAACACCTATGGCTATACACCCAGGCCAGACCTATACACCCTGGCCAGACCTATACACCCTGGCCAGACCTATACACCCTGGCCAGGCCTATACACCCTGGTCAGACCTATACACCCTGGCCAGACCTATACACCCTGGCCAGACCTATACACTCAGTGTTAGAAGTGTCAGTTAGCTCTCAGCTTAAGCCTGGGCTGGAGGTGGACGAATCTAAGGCCTTAGGTAACAGCTGTGTCTCGCTATGATCACGGTCTACTGGCGTACTGTAGGGAGTGGCTGCCTGGCCAGCCCGTCCTCCCTTATGTAACGCATACGAGCGAAAAGCGACGTTCTATGTAAGAGGACGGGTAGTTCTCCCTCCCTCCCTCCCCCGGTGGTCGAGAGCGAAGGCGAGTGTTTACTAGTATTTATACAGAGTTAGGCTCCATGTAAATTGTCATCCACACTTCCGTGGAAATAAACATTACATCACCTGGGGGACAACATCGGCCCGGTCACCAAATAAATTTTGTTAAACAAATTATTAATTTGTTAATTAAACTTAAACAGAGAACTCTTCTCGTAGAGATTTATTTTCTAATATACTATGATTAAAAGTTATTAAATACAAATTATGTGGATAATTTTCAGCAATTGTTCCCAACTGCCCCATTTCCCCCTCAGGGCCACTGTTACCAGGGGGAGTGTGGGAGCCACGAGGGGCGGTGTGAGCATGTGTGGGGCCCCTACGCCAGGGTGGCGGCCTCCAGGTGCTTCACGGAGCTCAACACGAAGGCAGAGCGCCAGGGCAACTGTGGTATGCACGCGACCTACGACCAGTACCTCGCCTGCCCCGACAGGTAAACCAAACAAAAAACCCTTTTCCACCCCCCCTTTCCTTGCTCATAATGCACCACAATGTTAACGCTCTCGGGGACAAATGAGCATCGGCCTTGCGATGCTATTTTGTTACTATTTCCTTTCGTTTGTTATTGTTATTTCTGTTATTATTTCTGATTATTGGTGTTGGTTGGGCAGCTCGGTGATGTGCGGGACGCTACACTGTGTACCCTACTCCCTCCACACCTCCCGGTTCCACCAGCAGCACCACAACGACAGTGTCCAGCTGGGCCACGACACCTGTCACTACATCGAGGCTACCGAGTACTACCCCAGCAGGGACTGGCTCTCCCCCGACGGCGCCTCTTGCGGCCAGGGCAAGGTACGGCTGCCTAGCGACGGAGGGTTAGACAGGCAGGGATGATACTCATGATTGGGATAGATAGGAGGGAGAGTTAGATAGGAAGCAAACGGTAAAAAGAAGAGATATGAGAGAGAAGGAATGATAGGCACATATAAACATTGGAAAACAGATAACGAGAGCATGAGAGGAAACAAGCGACAGACAGGCAGATAAACAGACAGATATCTATACAGACACTCAGACAAGTGAACAAACCAAGTCTCAACACTGGAAATCATTAGAATCTTGGCAGTATTGAGGGAACATCTCCGGCCGCGGCCTCCCGCCATAATGCCAACACTTCACCCAACAAAAACTGTCCCTCATTTGTCCAGACTCTCGTACCGTAGCGTCCATTCATCCCACCACCCTCTGAATTAATGAATGTGTGTGTGTGTGTGTGTGTGTGTGTG